AGTCTTTCCCTTCTCCAGTGCATCTTCCCAACCCAGGTCTCTGGCATTGTAGACAGATCCTTTACCAGCTGAGCCATCAGGGAAGCCCTAGTTTACCCTTATTTATTTATCCTTAAAGGAGCTGACTTTGCCTGAAATTGATTAATATTTGTGTCATAACATTTTCACAAATGAGCTCGAGCTCTAAAAGTGGGATCCTCACATCCTGGGCCATAAATCTAGCCTTGGTAAATTCAAAAAAATTGAAGTCATTCCAATCATCTTTTCTGACCACAATGCAGTAAGATTAGATCTCAAATACAGGAAAAAAAACTATTAAAAATTCCAAGATATGGAGGCTAAACAACACCCTTCTGAATAACCAACAAATCATAGAAGAAATAAAAAAAGAAATCAAAATATGCATAGAAATGAATGAAAACACAACAACCCAAAACCTATGGGACACTGTAAAAGCAGTGCTGAGGGGAAGGTTTATAGCAATACAGGCTTACCTCAAGAAGCAAGAAAAAAGTCAAATAAATAACCTAATTCTACACCTAAAGCAACTAGAAAAGGAAGAAATGAAGAACCCCAGGGTTAGTAGAAGGAAAGAAATCTTAAAAATTAGGGCAGAAATAAATGAAAAAGAAACAAGAGACCATAGCAAAAATCAACAAAGCTAAAAGCTGGTTCTTTGAGAAGATAAATAAAATTGACAAACCACTAGCCAGACTCATGAAGAAACAAAGCGAGAAGAATCAAATCGACAAAATCAGAAAATGAAAGTAGAGAAATCACAACAGACAACACAGAAATACAAAGGATCATAAGAGACTGCTATCAGCAACTATATGCCAATAAAATGGACAACTTGGAAGAAATGGACAAATTCTTAGAAAAGTATAACTTTCCAAAATTAAACCAGGAAGAAATAGAAGATCTTAACAGACCCATCACAAGCACAAAAATTGAAACTGTAATCAGAAATCTTCCAGCAACAAAAACCCAGGACCAGACGGCTTCACAGCTGAATTCTACCAAAAATTTAGAGAAGAGCTAACACCTGTCTTACTCAAACTCTTCCAGAAAATTGCAGAAGGTAAACTTTCAAACTCATTCTATGAGGCCACCATCACCCTAATTCCAAANAGCTGCCACTTATCCTTCTCTTCCTAGGAATCTATGTGGTCATGGTGGTGGGGAACCCGAGCATGATTATACTGATTGGGCTCAGTTCTCACCTGCACACTCCCATGTTCTATTTCCTCACCAATTTATCCTATATTGACCTCTGTTCATCCTAAAGGAGATCAGTCCTGGCTGTTCATTGGAAGGACTGATGCTGAAGCTGAAACACCAATCCTTTGGCCACCTCATTCTTTTTAACGGCTGAGTAATCATTTTATTGAAGATATATAAGCATGCGTTTCTGCAAATAAAGTACCCTTGTTTCACTCGAGACTTGGGTCCCCTGCATCCCTCTTCTCATTGACTCCAGCCCCCAGGTCCCGGTCTACAAACACCATGACATCCTTCCACCTTCATTCTTTCCCAGCATCAGGGTCTTTTCAAATGAGTCAGTTCTTCACATCAGGTGACCTATAGTCTGCAGAATAAAGATGTCAAATTTGCTCTGAAGAAAATTCTGGACAGTAGAAAACATTCATGAGTAGAATCTGTATCATGATGTCATACTAATCATTTGCAGTGAGTTAGATTTATTATTCAGATGTTTACAGTTTTAGTGACACTTCCTTATATAACATCTCCAACATTCTCTTCCTGGACACTTCTTCAAAATTATATTACAATGGTTATGTATGGATAAATGGATGAATAAAATAAAATGTTCTTAAGGATTAACAGAGCCTTTATTTTATTTTTAATGACTTGCAATAAAACAAGAACTACAGCAATGATGATGATGAAGAAACTTATAGAAACATATTTTATTAAGCTTTTATTTGTAGAGATGTGGATGGACCTAGAGTCTGTTGTATAGAATGAAGTAAGGCAGAAAGAGAAAAACAAATATCAATTGCTGTAAAGGAAAAACTAACACAACATTGTAAATCAATTACACTCCAATAAATATAATAAAGAATAAATGATTTTATGAAATGTAAACACTATGCCCTATTTTCAAATGGGTAGCTATTTACTGTATTCCCTCAAAGCAAGCTCTAGTATAATAGAAGCTTATTTCAGTTGAGTAAATGATTGAGTTTTTCCAGTTTCAATGTGGAAAATTGATTGAGAAGCACTGTGTCACCCATCTGTAAATGCTTTCAAAAATAATTGAACCTAATTCATTTAATCATATTTTATAAGTGCTCCCTGATATGAGTTTCCAATTTATCTTACATCATGCTACAATCTAAGACTACTACAATCTAAATTATTCCAGCTTTGGAAAAAAAGTAAAAGTATATAAAAAAGAATAATTATGAAACATAATTACCTAATAATAAACTATTTCATTAAATACACAGTTTAACAAGTAAAATTATTATTTGTGACCACTTTTTTAAAAATTGCATCAATATTCTGAATTCTTGCCCCATAACTCTAAAATTCAGTTATATATAGATTTCATCAGAACAGGATGAGAAACACATGTACACCCATGGCTGATTCATGTCAATATATGACAAAACCACTACAATATTGTAAATTAATTAGCCTCCAACTAAAGTAAATTTTTTAAAAAAGTGGGATCCTTGTACATATTCTTTGGTAAGCTGTATTTATTTTTTGTAAATATATCTGAAAATTTTAAGTTAATTTTTAGGTTAGTCATTTTTACTTCTTGGATGACAACATAATATTTAAATTTCTCTTTGTTTTTTCTCTAAATTCTTATCTGACTAGTTAAATAACAAAAAGATGTATTTTTTCTTGACTTTGCTTTATTGAAAGATACCATCAGCTTTTGAATTTCTCACAAGAGCATGTGTTTGTTTGGCCATGCTGTAAGACAATGGACAGCACTCTAGTGTTGATTGGTTTCCTTTATATGCCTTTTTTTGTCTGTCGGCCCACAACCTCATCTGACCACTCAGTTTATATTTATACCATTCTCTTGACTCCATCCAACTCATATGATGTAACTATCATATAGTTAGTTACATCAGCTAGTTTGTCATCTTGCTTGAAGTTCTGTCTTATCTAAACTTGAACCAGCCTTGAGAAATTTGAGTAATGAGTTTATAGTTTTTAAAAAAAGAATCTTCTTCATAAAGAAGAGTTCAGTTTAGTCACTCCATCATGTCCGACTCTGCGACCCCATGGACTGGAGCACGCCAGGCCTCCATGTCCATCACCAACCCTCAGAGTCCACCCAAACTCATGTCCATTGAGTCAGTGATGCCATCCAACCATCTCATCCTCTGTCATCCCCTTCTCCTCCTGCCCTCAATCTTTCCCAGNAGTTAAATAAGCAGGGTGACAGTATACAGCCTTGATGTACTCCTTGTCCCATTTGGAACCATCCTGTTGTTCCATGTCCAGTTCTAATTGTTGCTTCTTGAACTGCATACATATTTCTCAGGAAGCAGGTGACTTGTTCTATAGGGGGAATAAGTATTTTTTATTTATACTTTAGGTAATTGTGCTTTCTGAAGTATTTTACTTCCATTTCAGTTTGCCACTCATATTCTCTCCTTTCTCTTCCTCTCTGTGTCTCCTCAACTCCCATTTTTACAGTAGTTTTGAGAGAATGGGAATTGCTGCGTTGGTCAAACTGACACCCCCTCTAGTGGAAGCTCTAACCAGTAACACCACTTTCTCACCATCAGTAGGACTTGAGGTTCATAAAACATCTTTCATATGCTCATTTAAGTAAAATTGATACCTGTGCTGTAACTTGATATTCTTTTCTCTTATTTATTTGTATACTGCTTTATTAGCCTATCACATTAGTTGCTAAGCTTTGTTAGTAATTAGTTCACATGTAACTTTCTAACATCCTTGTTAGTCTAGGATGGGAGAAAAGAAGGTAACATTTATAAATACTTCCTAAACTGGAAAGAGATGGGGAGGAGAATTAATTTAATAGAACAAATATTTCTGGTTTTGGTAATGCTACCTTGAAGAATTTATACACACACATACTTTTTTACACAAATTTTTGCTAAGTATAGTTTACTGTGTAACTTTGTGGGTTGCTTTATAAATAAACATTAGTATATATGAAAATACTATTATTTATTTTAACTGCAAAAATTAAATAATTATATTGATCTGGTGCCAAACTCATTAATTCATATCAATTTTTATGTTTTATAATCTTTGAACATATTAACAGGGAGAAAGCAACTGTTTGATATTACCAAAGATTATGGATTTCTGTCACATAGTTTTAAAGAGCTGAAAGTAAATGGGCTTAAAATAGTTGGCTGGCAAATGAAAATATCACAAAATCTCTAGAAAAGCAAAGTAATAATATAAGGAGTAGAACTACCAGATACTAAAACATAAAGTAACAGTATTGAAGCAGTAAGGTGGAAGCCCAAGATTAGATGTATAGATCACTAAAGAGTAAAGAACTGTTGTCACTTATACAAACCTGACATATATTAAAGGAGGCACTGTTAAACAGCAGGGAAGAGAATGATTATTTAATAAATGGGGTTGGAATAGCTATTTAGCATTGTCAAGGAAAAATACACTTAGAATCACATCTACACCAGAGATAACAAAATAAATTTCAGATGAACCTTAAGTGTGGACAATTACATATTGAAAATATGGAAGATAAAAGGACTGAATATTCTATAATTTCTCTGGAGTTTCTAAGCAATTTGAAAACTGGAAAAGGAAGATAGTAAAAATCAGACTGCAGATGCTAATTTATAGTAACTGTAGCTCTGTGAGCATTATAGTAAAGCATTCCTAATCTGTGTTCAGAATCTGAAAACTAGTCTTTTTTTTTTTTATACCAGCTGGAAAACTTATGCTTCCTATATTAGTTAATGGAACAGAGAATGCAACTCTGTATCTAACATTTTATTCCATAGATGCATTGAAAATTATACAGGAGCTCGTTGTGAAGAGATTTTTCTCCCAAGCTCCGGTATCCAAACTAAAAGTGATCTGTTCGCAGCTTTCGTGGCATTGACTGTTCTTCTAGGAACGCTTATCCTTGGAGCCCTCTACTTCCTCTGCAGGTAACCAAAATAGAAACATGCTTTTGAAAAGAAAAAAGTAATACACAGTAGTTATTGTTTGACTAAATAATCAATATGCCCTTTAGCTCTAGATTATTTTTCCAGCTCATGTTTTCTGTTTAGAGTTATTTCTCTAATGCAGTTATTGTTGCTAAATTGTATCTTTTATTTATTTTTGTTATTAAATTACTGTCAGTTTTGAAAGGACCTTATTCTTTGTTACTATCATCATCATTACCTTGACTTTTCTAAACTAGTAAGGTAGACCCACATTCACTAAAGTCATCATGCCAAAAACACCTAAATATTTGGAGTAAGTCTATTTAAAGTAGACTTTGAATGTGAAAGAAAACAATGATTTATTAGTTACCCAAGTACCCATCAACAAAAGATTGGACACCAAGTTGTGATATATTGCTATTAAAGGGTAATATATAAGCAGAAATGAATTACAGTTACACAAATTGTGATTCTGAAAGCTCAGCTTCTCTGTACATTGGTGCTGAATCGAATCTTGGAGACAGAGTTTTGGGTAAGGTAGAAAAGGGTAGCTTTATTACTGCCAGGCAATGGAGGACACAGTGGACTTTTGCCTCAAAAACTGTGTTCCAGCTTGGAAAGGATAGTTAGAAGTTTTGTAGTAATGATTTAAAAAGGATGTGATCAGCTTGCGGACATTCTTCTGATGGGTTGGTGGTAAGATAAGTAGGAGTCAGCATCATCAACCTTTAGGTTCCAACTGGTCTGGATCTACATGCTTGTGGATAGCATACCATCTAACTTTCTCCCACCTGGAGAGGGTTTCAGTATCCCAAAACAGCTCAAGGGTATTGTGTGTTTCCGCTGATGGGGAACCAGGACCTTGTCCCAGGGCTGCACTATTGTTTCTCTTGACTTTGTTTCTTCCTGGTCTAGCATCCCCTCCCTTCCCTAACTAGCAGCTGCCCATTAGAACTCAGGAAAGGTCATAGAGGCTGATAAAAAGGCTATTTCCTGTAATCAAAGAAATGAGAGACACAGAAAGGCTTTGTGCCCAGGAGCCCCAGAGGACCCTGCTCCATAGCAAGTGCCTGGGTAAATCTTAGAAACATAATTTTATGTGAAAGAAACAAGTCACATAAAAAATGTAACAGTATGATCCTACTCATGAAAAGTTTAAAACTAGACAAAACTAAATAGTGTATTGCTTAGGGTGATATATATGATTGGTTCACGTAAGAGACTGGTTAGCACAAAATACAGAATGATGGTTACTTGTGGTGGGAAAAGACAGGGAAGCAGTCAAAGAAGGCATGGAGTGTTAATAGCCTATTTCTAATCTTGTGCTTTGCACGTAAGGGTCTATCACTGATTTTTAAACTGGTGTCGACTTAAATATTCACAACCAAAAGTTGAGAGTTATGTGTTTTTTTGGCAGGAATTTTTAGGACTTCAAGCCTGGGAGGCAGCATCTCAAGTAACCTTGAGAAAATTGCTCCGAGGAGGCAAGCCGGGAGCTAGGATAGATGGAAATTTTGCAACAAAGGGCAGGTAGTCAGGAAATCCAATATGTTTAAATCTTTTAATTATTGTTAATTAAAGAAAACCAGCTACGTAGTAAGTTAAGGAATTTAGCACTTTTTTTTTCATTTATTTTTATTAGTTGGAGGCTAATTACTTTACAATATTGTAGTGTTTTTTGTTATACATTGACATGAATCACATATATATGGAATTTAGAAAGATGGTAATTATAACCCTATATGCAAAATAGCACTTTTCTGTATACGAGAAGATGCAAGAATCTGGATTCACTGAAATCATTCCTTTGATATGCACCTTAATTATTTGGGGCCAGTTTCCTGTGTTTTTACCTCCTGTTTTCCTCAGGGCTCACTACAGGGAGTGGCAGCAGTCACATGGCAGGTGTTCTTTCCTTTCTAAGTTCCTCAGGGCTCACCAGCGGCCTGTGGGCAAGGCTGTAGGCTGATGACTGTGACATCCTTTGTTCACTGACGTGGCAGGAGATATTCCATTTCTCTCTAAGCATAAATACTGTCATTCACTCTTTTTATATGTGGACTTTATTGAAAAATAAAATAAAGCAAATTTTGCCATATATAAATGTTAAACATTTTCATATTAATTGGAAAATGAATGTAAATTTAATAACTGAGAAAAATAGCATCCTTAAGATTCTTACAAAAATAATATGACATTGAATAATTTTCAGAAATGGTTATAATATGCTACACACTGTACCTTTTCCATTTTTAAATGACAACACAAGCAGAGGTGTTTCTACATGATGATTTGTGTCTTGTCAAAATCAAGAATAGAATTAATTTGAAAAAAACGTGAGTAGCTATTGCTTATAAAAAATGTAGTCATAAGATTTAGGCTCTTGCATACTGACCAGGTGAAACATACTGTCTGAAATGTGCTTTTAAGAATTAAAACAAGTCAACGTTTACTGTAGTAGTTTTTAGGTCCATCAGTGGTTGAAATTGCTTTAAGCTGAAGCCCTTTTGAAATTTAATAACTAATTAATGTCATATTTGAATGAGGTCCAAAATGATAACCCATATATGCTGAAATCTAGGCAGAATCAATCATGTTTCACGAGGAGCAATCAGTGTATTTTTAGAAAACACATTTCATTTTGCTATGGTAAAAAGTGGTTTTAAATTAATTTTCATTGATGTAATACTCTAGGCATTGACTTACTGAAAAAAAATCAAAAGCAAGTGTACATTCCAATATCTTATTTAATATTAAAAGTGGTTTTTAAAAACTCTGTCATGGGCATTTGAATGTAATTAGAAACTACATTAATTGACCAGATGACAAAAAAAGATTGGTAAACTGTAGCCTTAAAAAAGTACAAGTGAGGGACTTCTCCGGTGGTCCAGTGGTTAAGAATCTGCCTGCCAATGCAGGGAACATGCATTCAATTCCTGGTCCAGGAAGATCAAACTTGCTGGGGGGCAACTAAGCCCACACACCACAACTACTGGAGCCTGTGCATCCTAGAGCCTGTGCTCCACAACAAGAAAAGCCACCACAATGAGAAGCCTGTGCGCCGCAACTGGAGAATAGCCCCCATTTGCCTCAACTAGAGAAAGCCTGTGCACAGCATTGAAGATCCAGTACAGCCAAAAATAAATAAAATTTTTTAAAAGGTGTATTTGAGTTTCTCAATAGTTGAGTAGAGCCACCCCTTGTCACATAAAGTGTTACTCAGTAGACTCTGACTCTTTGCGACCCCATGGACTGTAGCCCACCAGGCTCCTCTGTCCATGGAAATCTCCAGGCAAGAATACTGGAGTGGGCTGCCATTCCCTTCTCCAAGGGATCTTCCTGACCCAGGGATCAAACCTGGGTCTCCTGCGTTGCAAGCAGATTTTTTACTGACTGAGCCACCATAACGATCCCAACTAATAATGAAAACTAACCACTTTAAGAAGAGCACAATGATGCTACATTAAAACAGCACAGTTCTGCTGTCTTAAAGGAGAAAGACTAAGTGGATCATCAGCATCTGAAGCCCCTACAGATGACCTACCTGCCCTGGTGGATTTGTTAAATAATGGGGCACAGTTTTAGGGAAGCTCTGGCAGTTTCAGATAGTTGTGGAAAAGAAAATAAACCTCCATATGTTCAAATTTAAACTTGCTTTCTGTGTTTGCACTTACCCATTTTCCATTTGTGTGTTTCTTTCTTCTTTATTATCAGGAAGGGCCATCTTCAGAGGGCCAGCTCAGTCCAGTATGATATCAACTTGGTAGAGACAAGCAGTACCAGTGTCCACCACAGTGAGTAAATTCAAAATAAATGTATATTTAAAAACCCTAAGTTAGATGTTGGATGTTTAAAGGGATTTGGATCTATCCAAAAAATGTTGACCCTAAAAATTTTTTCTATGGGTTTTTTTACCTGAAGATGAATTTCTCATTAGCTATATAACACAAGTCATCTTTTTTCCCCAAAGAAAACTGTGTTATCACAATATGTGAAATTATGATGTTAGTTATGTTTCACAGACTGATTTTTACAGAAGTAATTTGAAGTGGACTGCCATAGGGACAGAAGGAGGATTTTTATCTATAAGGATAAGCAAATCTTTTGGAAATGTATGGGTCAATTCATGTTTTAAAAATATTGTGAGACTTCTGCTTCTGACCAAGATGGAGTAACAGTGACTGGATTTAAACAGTTTAAACTGGATTTAATAAATACCTCCTCCTTGAAACAATTTATAAATGGACATTATACATTAAGCAATGGTTTTTAAGACATTGGACAACAGGGAACAAAGGATCATGAGAGATGGAAAACAGATAAGATGAACCAATGATTCCCTCAAATTATTGCCTTGAGAGTTTCCAGGCTGTGGCATGGGAAAGTTGGTTGGATGACCCAGGTTGATCAGTGTGGCTTGATCAATATAGTTCACTGAATGGAGAGAGAATTTCAGAGATCTTCAAGTATTCAGTTGAGTGATAATCACATGTATTCTAGGAAAATACTTGATATTAGGGTAAGAATCACCTGATAGGATTAGAGGTACCCACTATTCACACAAGGCTAGGAAAAGTGCCTGTTCCCAATAATAAGGCTAAAAATCCTAATTATTCATTGAGTAATAGTGTACACCAAAGATTGCTTCTTCAGTAGTGGGGAATAATTAGCCCTAGATTGGGTACTGTTCCAGTCCTGCCTAACAGACCATAAAAGCAAGAACTGAAAGAATCAAATTGTTTCTAAATAACCTAACTGCATCATCATCATCATCAGTTCCATCACTCAGTCATGTCCGACTCTTTGCAACCCCATGGACTGCAGCAATTTGTTTTGATTCATGGACCTAACATTCCAGGTTCCTATGCAATATTGCTCTTTACAGCATCGGACCTTGCTTCTATCACCAGTCACATCCACAACTGGGTATTGATTTTGCTTTGGCTCCATCCCTTCATTCTTTCTGGAATTATTTCTCCACTGATCTCCAGTAGCATATTGGGCACCTACCGACCTGGGGAGTTCATCTTTCAGTGTCCTTTCTTTTTCCCTTTTCATACTGTTCATGGGGTTCTCAAGGCAAGAATACTGAAGTGGTTTGCCATTCCCTTCTCCAGTGGACCACATTCTTTCAGACCTCTCCACCATGACCCGTCCATCTTGGGTGGCCCCACATGGCATGGCTTAGTTTCATTGAGTTAGACAAGGCTGTGGTCCTGTGATCAGATTGGCTAGTTTTCTGTGATTATGGTTTCAGTGTGCATGCCCTTTGATGCCCTCTTGCAACACCTACTGTCTTACTTGGGTTCCTCTTACCTTGGGAGTGGGGTATCTCTTCACAGCTGCTCCAGCAAAGCGCAGCCACCACTCCTCACCTTGGACAAGGAGTATCTCCTCAGGTCTGCCCCTCCTGACCTTGAACGTGGAGTAGCTCCTCTCGGGCCCTCCTGCGCCTGCGCAGCTGCCGCTCCTTGGACGTGGGGTAGCTCCTCTCGGCCACTACCCCTGACCTCGGGCGTGGGGTAACTCCTCTTGGCTGCGGCCCCTGACCACTGGCACGGGGTAGCTCCTCTCGGCCGCTCCTGTGCCGTGGCAGCCTGGCACTCTCGGTCACCGCCCCTGACCTTGGGCAAGGGGTAGCTCCTTAAGGCTACGCTTCTGCGCAGTCTGTCACAGCCGGCATGCTTCTGAGGGGGAGTCAAAGGAGAGAGACCAATCTAGCCAGTAATCAGTTCCCTAAGGGTTCTCCACAGCCAAGGACACACACAGAGGTTCACAGAGTTAAATCGAGAAGAGAAGGAGGAGAGAGGAGATGGAGGTGACCTGGGGGAGAAAAAAGGAGAGTCAAAAGGGGAGAGAGCAATCAAGCCAGTAATCAAACTCCTAAGTAAATATGGGTACTGAAAATTAGATTCTTAAAGGTACAAAATTTATAACAAATACCAAAAAGCAAAGATTAAAATCTAGAGTAGAGGTTAGACTTTCAAAAATACAATAGTAAAAACGCAAAACAAAATCACAAAAATCATTATATATCTATATCTATCTATATCTATATATATATGAAAATTGCTTTAAAATAGTCCTTTTTCTGGCAAGGTAGTAGGTTATAAAAATGAAAATTAAAGGAGTAATGAACTTAAAAATAAAAAAAATTAAATTATAATAATAAAGTATATCTAGGAATTTCTCTGGAGCTGTTGAGGGCAGGGTGGGGTCAGTTCAGTTTCAGATAGTTCCTAGTTCTTCACAATGTCTATAGACCCCTTCCAATGCTTAGTCAATGCTAACTACAGGGTTTTAATCTGTTGCACCTGTCACTTGAGAGTGGTTCCCTCTTTGTTTATTTTGGCTTCCTCTGTTTGCAAGTCTCTTCAGTGTCTAATTTCTGCCCTGACACAAGAGGGCTAAGGTGGTCACTCATTTAGGCTTGCTTGTTCAGTTGTGCTGTGGGGAGGACGCAACACTCCAAATAAATATCACTGGCATCTGTGGGGAGTTCTCGTGGTGTGTGGCCCACACTGGGTTTGCCCCAGCTCATGGTGCATGTGCATTCCCAGGCTAGATTGGTCAGGCTCCAGGTTGCTCTGCAGGGGATCTACCCAAAGCAGGCCCTGGGTTTCCTGCCCTTCCCAGGTCTAAGCTGCGCAGGTTCAGACTCTCAGGCGCAGAGTCAGTAGGGCATGAGTTTCATGCCCTTCCCAGGTCTGAGCAGCTCAGGCGGCCAGGAGCTGGGCCAGCACCCTGTCCCAGGTGGGCTGTGCATTTTATCACCTCCGCAGTCCCAGCCGCTTGGAGTCCTGGCTGCACTGTGAGAGCGCTGTCTCAGGTGCGCTGTCTGTCTCCTCTGGGGTCTGATCTCTGGCTGCGACCCTTCTGGCAGATGTCAACCATTTAGGATCCCAGAAAGACTTGGTTAGCAACTGGGAGCCTGCTCACAATTTGGTAGAGGATGCCACCTCTGGGGTAGAGATTGCCCCTTGCCTTCCGGCTCTGGCTGTCAACTCCAGCAGGGGGATGGCCCTCTGGTGGGGGGATGGGCCGGACTGCAGCCAGCTAGCTCTCCTCTGGTATTCGTTCCTTTGTGGGAAAGTTCTCTCTCTCTCTCTCTCTCTCTCTCTCTCTCTTTTCTCTCTCCGGCTATCCTACAGTTTGGGTTGCTATCTCAAGTTAGCTCCCTCAGATTGTCCTCAGAGTATTCAGGCCCAGTCCTCAACCGAAGCATGCAACCATCGCCTCCTTGTTCAGCCACGCTCGCTGGTGGCGGACATGAGCAACCAGGCTGGTTCTCCGCTGGGAGTTGCAGTTAGGCACGTAATCTGTGGGGTTTTTAAATATTTTTTCCCCCTCTGTTATGTTGCCCTCTGAAATTCCAAAACTCCCCACAGTCCTGCCACTGACAGGGTTTCCTGGTATTTGGAAACTTCTCCTCTTTCACGACTCCCTCCCTGGGACAGGTCTCTGACCCCAACTCCTTTTTTCTCTCTTTTTTCTTTTATATTTTGTCCTACCTCCTTTTGAAGAGAATGGGCTGCCTTTTTGGGTGCCTGGTGTTCTCCATCAGCGTTCAGAAATTGTTTTGTGGAAGTTGCTCAGCATTCAAATGATCTTTTAATGAATTTGTGGGGGAGAAAGTGGTCTCCCGTCCTATTCCTCCACCATCTTAGAACTGCCTCCTCTTGACTTTTTTTCAACAGATTAGAGAAAATACTGTAGAGGTAGGTTTGAGAGGGAGGTGAGAAGTCCCGATATAAACATTTTTAAGCATCCAAGGGAGAAGAAGAATGAGAAGAAATGTATATGTTGGCTAGAGGACAGAAAAGAAAGAGAATGCAAAGACACAACTGAACTGAAAATACAGTCCACTTGTGTCAACATGACTTAACTGTTTATTACAGAAAATTCTTTACCAGGAAAGTAGTTCTGTATACCAATAGTTACTTTCACTCTTTGCCAATTTCTATCAAGAAGTTCTTGAAAACAAACTTATTTGAACATTTTGCTCATCTGGACAAGCAAATCTCCCTTTATGATAACATCTTGCTCACCTGAACAAGCATCCTGCTTCTCAGATGCTGTCAAAGACTCCTCAAAATTATTTCCATATTAAATCCACCAATCGTAAACTATTATAACATGAGTTTTGCTCACTCCCAATAAATTCCCCATCTTGAAGAATCCCCCGCTTGAACCTAGACTCTAACACTCTTAATGCCTTCCCTAACTCAATTCTTCTGAGACAATTGAGACTCAATGTGGCTATCTCCCTTCCTGAAATATTATTAAGTTTAATAAACTCAAATCTATTTGATGGAACTATTTTTTCTGGAAATCTTTGTGGGAGAGTTTACAACCAAAAGAACTTACTTATTTCTTGGATACTATGGATGAAGAAGAAGAAAGGAGGCAATGGGGGTGTATGTATAAAGGGAAGAGGAGAAGAAGATGATTGATTTTTTAGCTTCATGAATGAATATTATGAAAGAACATTTTTGGGTTGACCTATTGTGATGGTTTATTCTTAGCTCTCACCCTGAGAAATATTTAGTTTATTTTTATGTACAAATATTAAAAAAGAGCTAGTTACAAATATGTCAAAATCCCCAGTTACAATTAGTGTAAGTAAAATGTACTGTGAGCCCCTTATTTCAAAATTCAGGCTTAAATTGAAAAAAGTAGGGGAAAACCACCAGGATGTTCAGATATGACCTAAGTGAAATCCCTTATGATTATCTAGTGGATGCGACAAATAGTTTCAAGGGATTAGATCTGGTAGGCAGAATGCCTGAAAAAC